TGAGGTGACAGAGAACACAAACCTGACCCTTCGAGGGTACTGAAAGGACCACTTGAACATCGTGATATGCCTCAGAATTATTGATGAGGCCTGACTGAGTGTTACAACGAGGACCTTGACCTCTGCATGGAAGAAGCTGTGTCTTGAGTCTGTAGCCGAAAGAACCTTCGAAGGATTAGAACCCGACGTGCCATTGGAGTGTCTCTGGGAAAATCCATGGGCCTGGTGATGGGTGAGAGAGACGTGAACGAGCTCTTCTAGGAGCACTCACAGGAACTGATGACCGATGAATTACAAGAGTTACAGTTGCAGCAGTATTCGGGAGTCTGCAAGAAATTGGTTTCGAGAAAGAGCCAGATGTAGTGGAGGTTACCTCTACAAGTGAGATAAAAGAGATCTTGGGAATGTGTCTTTATTCAAAATCACGTAACAAAAACAATTGGGGGTAGCATTTTTGGGACTGGAACGGATTAATGACATTCAATTAATTTCAATAGGGAAAATTGCTTTGAGGTACGAGCAAATTGCCATACGAGCAAGGTTACGGAACGAATTAAACTCGTATCTCGAGGTATCACTGTACTTGACAAATGTGGAACAGTACGCAGATTTCTTAACACCACTGTCAAATATCCTATTCCAGGTTACACAATATATTAAATTGGAAGAAGAATAAATAAAATTATACTTTGGTGTCGTTGAGTAGATAGATATGTGGCCGGTGTGGGTGAACTAAGTGTATATCTGTTTCATTCCCATATCTTTAATGAATTCTTGAATGGTTCCAGACAGATCAACCAGACTATTCAAACGGGCGACATGGTCTATTGTTGTTGAAGTGATGTAAATTCTTGAAGATAGATTTGTGGGAGATACGGGGGTTGAAACTTGAAAAGTATCTAGCGGCTAATAACAATAAGGCAATTTCTATTTAAAATTAATTTTAAGTTTAATCATTCTTCCACTTGAAGAAGTTACCGTTCAAGCAAAATAATTATTATACATTACAGTAGATTTGTATTTAATAATTTACAAGAATGCTGTCTGTTTTTGTGCTTTTCTAATTACAAGAGTGTCTGAAGATGTAAATGTAGCAGGCATATTACACTACAGTGATGGTTACAACCGTTACAACACAATAAACATCCATAATTGAACCTAGGCATTCATATAAAATTCATTTGTTAGCAATACAAATATTATGTACGTATGTCTATTCCATCTGGCTTCATCTGACCTGGTCTCATTAATAAAATGTAGTATACTCTGTAACAATCTCATTATAATAATCTGTAGTCTGAATGTACCCGAAGGTGTTGAAAGGTTACGCTTATAATTTAGTGTAACATCATTTACAAAATGCGGTTTGTTTGCATAACGTTTGAAAGTACGTCCGATATACAAATGAAAACCAGATTGCGATAGGTAAATGTCAAAGGTGAAGGATTACTGAGAGACAGCACAATAACCCCCCACAGTGATTAACCAGGAAACTGTGGAAGTATCTAATTTATCGGATATACTAATTTACTCGGAAATAACTTTCTCTATTTATATTGCAGTATCTCTCCACTTATTGTTCATAAAATTATTGAAATTTTATTTCTTGAAGTCATGAAAAAAAAATGTTTAAATGTCAAAAGGAATGGCAAGAAAGTCTCTCTAGTGTTAGATAACTTTCCTCTGTTAACAAACCGGGAGATATTGCGAAAATGTTAATTAAATATCAGACATGTACAATCGATGCAGTTTATTAATAGATGACCTGTGGAATTTGAACACGAAGCGAGAATATTGACCAAATGTGTTCTGCCTACTGCAATGATGTAGCAGTCGGGGACAAAGACGGACGAAAGCAGCGATTGGGCTCCGGGGATTCTGGCGAATTCTAAATTTCGAGAAGTCCTTTTTAATAAAAACCCAAAAAAGACCAAAATATATTCAGTAAGTACAAGAGGTATGTTGGTATTTGGAGTTGGAACTGACCAGGACCTCCTTTAGTTCATCCCTAATATAGACAAAGTTATCCAGTTTGGATTCATACTATCGCGTTTCGGATAAACTAGTATATAATCCCAAAAGAGTAAATTTGAAGATAGCTGATAAGAGTCAAATAGGAATACAACATAACTTATGTTAAAAAATATTGAATTTTTGGTCGATTAAAAAGCTGCCGTCGGAAAATCGTTGCAGAAAATT